CACACACACACACATGCCTGCAAGGAATTTGCAGCCCCTCCTCCCCTCCCCCACTTCCAGGCTGTGGGGCCACCTCCTGTGACTTGGACCTGTTGTAGAAAGGGAATCTTCACACATCCCCCCCAGACCAGAGGCTGGTCCCCCTGGGTTTAAATACCAGAGCTGGTGGGAAACTCTTTTCAGGAGCAAGTCCTCCTGTGTGACGCCACACCTCTGACCCGAGCCACCCCCTCCAGGAACCGAGTCCAGGGACTGTAACAGGGAGGCCTGATGGCACATCAGTTCATGCACTTGCCGCTGATCACCACAACGTTGGCAGTTTACGTTCAGCAGCAGAGCCGGGGGAGAAGATTTACAGCCCAGGGATCCCCATGGGCAGTCCTGCTCCCGCCTATCGGGTCCTGAGTAGTCAGAATCCACTGGACGGCCACATTGGGTTTGGGGTTCTGTCTGGGACAAACTGCCAAGATCAGAGTCCACGGGCTGCATGGTCTGCTTGGGGCCTGGGAAGAGTAAGAGTGACTGTCGCAGGTTCATGGGGGGGCAGCCCCAGCCCTCATCCCAAGGCCGGCTCTGCTGCCTGGAGCCCCTGGGCAGCTCGCACCGGAAAGGCTGGGCCACTTCCCCAGGAAACACACAACCCTGGGTGGGTGGGGGACACGGCTCTCCCGCTATCCTTACCCCCAGCTGAGCTCTGTCCCTGCCTGCAGCCAAGGACAGTTGGGCCTGACTCACCAAGAGTCCCCCTGGGCTAGGAAAGCCTGACCAGAGCCCCCTCCAAGGGGACCCCCTCAGGTCTCCCTCACCCCAGCCAATGCGGGTGACCATGTCCAAGTCAGTTGGGGAAGGCGTCATCCGTGCTAACGGACAGGTGGGTCCCCACCTGAGCTGGGGAGGAGACAGGCAGTGCTGGGCTGAGCAGCAGCCTGAGCCCTCAGACCCACTGCTCAGGCCACGAGCTGATCTTGTCCGAAGCAACCCAACCCAGGGCTCAGCTCCTGACCAGGGCTCCCCACCCTGCTCTGTCCTGCAGGGGTCTGGGGCTGTGTCCAGGGGCCAGCCAAGGGGCCTGTATGCCACCCAGCCAAGGCATCTAGGCTCTCCAGCCCCCAAGGCCAGGGGGCATGGCCCCTGGAGAAGGGCTCCAATCCTACGGGGTCACTGGGTCCCCAGCTCTCCCACCTATGTGCCGAGACACCTGGCTGCGAAAGATGCTCTTGCCAGCTTGGCCTCACGAGACACCTGAGGTTCAGAGAGAGTAGATGACCTGGTAGGGTCACACAGGGACAAGGGGCCGGTAAGATGTGAACCCTGAGCCCAGGTACGGGGCACACCCTGTGACCTCTCACCCAGAGAAGACTGGCTGGGAGGGAAGGGGCTGAATGGGGGCTGCAGAGAAGTGAGGCCGGATGCAGATGGGAATGAGGAAGTCAGAGCAGCACCCAGTGTTGGGGGCAGGGAGGGGAGCCGGGAAGAGTCATGCCAGATGCTGCTGCCCAAACCAGACAGGGCCTGGGCCCCAAGGGGACACAGAGACAAAAGACACCCACCCCCAAGCAGAAGTCAAGATCAGACAGGGGTCGGGAACCCCAAATCAAACCCGCTGCCTTCGAGGACCTGTGGGACAGGGCAGAATTCACCCCTGGGCTGCCCGAAGCTGTGCTTCTTTATAGGAGCAAACAGCCCCATTTTCTCCCAGGGAGCAACTGGTCAGTTCCAAGTGGCAACCTTTCCGTTAGCTGCCCATCGCAAAACCCAGTGTGCCACCAGAGCTCCCTGAAAACATCCACTTCCCCTGCCCGAGTGCTCCTTAGGGGCAAGGATGGCAAGACTTTGTCGTACCTATTGTGGGCGTGTTGTCAGGAGAGACCAGTCCCTGGGGAAGGACACCCTGGTTGGTAAAGGGGCAGCGACAAAGAGGAAGGCCCTCAGCGAGATGGATGGACACGTGGCTGCCACATTGGACTCAGGGATAGGAACAATTGTGAACATGGTGGAGGACCGGGCAGCGGTCCATTCTGCTGTGCACAGGGTGGCTATGGGTTGGAACCAGCTTGATGGCACCTGACAACAACCCTGCCATCAAGTGTATTCAGACTGTTGGAGAGGGACACACACACACACACGTTACATTCATTAATTAGTTAATCTATCAATTGAAAAATCAAGGGAAAGGTGAACAAGGAGTGTGTGGTAGCCAGGACGGCAGGGGAAGGAAGGGTTGGCTGAGGTGTCTGAGAAGCGGCAAGTCCTGGCATCTTGCTCATCCATCCATTCGTGGGTAGCTAAGGGGAAAAGGCTGGTGGGGACAGCCACAGAGGAGTCTGGGTGACAGGAGGACGGGGGAGCCCAGGGCCAGACAGCCAGCTTGGAAGCCACCGTGCCTCAGGGGAAGGTTCCTGAAGACCAGGAAACCCAGGCCATGCACCCACACAGAATTCGGGGGGAAGGGAAGCAGGGTGCAGATGAGACAGGGGCCCTTGAGTTCTGCTGAGGCTGGGCCTGGGGTTGGGCTTCAGGCAAGAAGGGGTGTGGGGTGGGGGACAAGGCCACCGGTGTCAATTACCCGACCAGCAAGGTAAGCACGGGCTGACTCCTGCTTCCTTACTAATAGGTAGGGAACACGGTGCCTGTTTTCTCAC